TTCCTTTGTTTACAAACCGACGCCATTTTGCGTCACAGTTTATAAACCAATAGCCCCATGTTTTATTTTAATTCGTGTAGCTAAGGAGGTTATACACCTACCTGCATTTCAAATCCCAAATAACACATTCAAGGCAATGTTCAGCGTTCTATCTCTAGCAACCATTTTTATCGATCATTGTCGATGCTATGTTTCAGTTACTCGCGCGTGCCGACACAAAGCTTTTGTGATTTTTGTCAAAATTATTTCTTCAAACCATGGAGCTTCAGGTTCCAACCGACGACTTGGACACGGTTGCACGACGGAACGGATGGGGATAGTTTTAGATTTACCATATGATGTCGCCCAAATAAGCCAAGAAGCTTAAAAAAACATACGGTGGGGAAGTAAATTTATTCTCGTTCGCTACCGCGACGTAGTTTTGACTTCTCTTTGTCACGGTACAATGATAGGCGTCCACTTGGGGAATATGAACTTTCCCTGATAAATACGATATATACGACTGGAAAAATTCCTCGAACTGTCAAAGAAAATCTTCTCAAAGGGACAGTATCGCGGTTGATTTGCATCAAGCCAACGCACTGTTGTCTTTAAAACTCGCGCCCGGGAGGAGAACAATAGGGCCACGCTGGTCGAAATTTCCATTTCACTGGCCTTCCTGGGAAGGAGGTGAGAACGAACCGCTCTGATCTCACCCGACGTCCTCATTATAACTCTAAAACAAACCCTCTGTTCCACGTGAATTTTGAACTAAAACGCAGAAAATGTATTTTGAGCAATATCTCCCGATCCTATCGGTAGAATTCGATGAAAAATACACCAATCGGAAAGTAAACATCTGGCCGCCATCTTGAAAAAATGACGTGATTCTCTTGCGCCGTTATGGAATTATGGGAGAAAACATACTAGAAAATCGACAAAATAAGATAAAAACTCACAGACAACAAAAATTCTACAAGAGAAATGAAATTTAAAGGTCCTAAAGTTTACAGTATGGATAAAACATGTGTTTGATGCGTAAATTAGCGAAATGTAGCGGTAGGTTAAAGTTCAATGACCCGAAATGACCTTATGTACGCACATACAGTCGGCGGGAAATTTGAATTGCATTCTACGTTGTCATTTCTTATTTTATACATATTTGGGGAGCGAACTAATTTTTTTTGTGTCTGCGTGATTCTTTTTCTAACTTCATAATCGCATCGTGCGTTATATTGGGCGAAAGTTGTGTTGTTTATCTGAATACTGCCGCTGCTCACAGCGCACCGGGTTGTGGGCGGGGCCTATTTGCTTAGCAACGAGGATTTTAACATAGCAACGGGACCACCGTGTTCAGAGATATTTTGGATTTTGGAGTATATTTTTTTGCAGTCAGGTATAACTGGTATGGTGTATACTAAAATACTGAAGGGAAATTTGAGCTCATTTTTTTGGCAATTAACCTTTCAGTCACATTTCAGGACCTGACAATTTTTCTAGGATAATTTCAAATATGCTTACTTAGTTATTTCAGTAAGATAATTCTTTCAATCAGTGACTATTAAATCCTAAGGTACATACCTCCGAATTTTCGACGACTAGTCAGTTCGTCTTGGTCACGGAATAATCCTAGTC